TCTTATTTATATTAGTTAAAAACTAAAATAATCCATGCCTGCCACTATTGGAATACTCTTTTACCAATGAATACTGGGATTGACCATCACATTATAATGCCCCCATGGCTGAAAGAACGAGTATGTTTGGTGGGACGGGTATTCGAACCTGTGACCCTCAGATTGGGAGTCGAGCATCCTAACCACCTGACCGAAATACAGCTTAGTTACTAAGCTTCATAAATTATAGTGGAATTCTATGGTATTGATATAGTAATTTATATTCTTTGGTTATTCAACTGTATACATAAAACCTAAGAAAATTTTTTTTTAATTTCATATCCTCTACGTAGAAACCTATGTCAAGCAGAAAGTGAGTACAAATATTGAAATTAGAAGAGATAATTGTTTGCTTCTGTGTTTAAGAAAATTAAGTTTAATAACTTATGTCTAAAGATTAATAATCTATTCATATAATTAATGTATAATAATTGAAATGTTACTGTATTTTACTAAAACACAGCAAAGATGGGGACACTTTGTAAAGACTAAAGGTCAACTATATATTATTGGATACGGTTTATTTCCTAATTTTTTATGCTGGTTAAGAGATCGGTCATATCTATCGAACCCGTAGAGATTTGTTAGTGAAACTAACAGATAAAATACCATGTTTTTCTTTATGAAATGTTTCATAACTATCTGGACATTATATAGATTTTGCATGTGAAAATTGAAACTTTTCTGATGCATAAAAATATTTTTAATCTTAAAATGAAAATTACTTTGCATGTTGGAAAGATAACATGTGAAAATAGAAAAAAGTATGAGAAAAACATTACTTAATAAAAAAATTTATATTTTGCGTATGAAAGCATTGTAATGTTAACTGATAATCTGCCAAATTTCATTAACATACACTTACTAATTTAAAAGTTATAGCATGAAAACTATAACAAGCACAAAATGGTTTTGAGGTTGGTCTGAGCCAGTGCTGAAAGGGTTAAAAAGTTTTTTTCAGATATTGGTATTAAAGTATTTAACTCGTAGCTACTGAATTTATTTGACCTGTTTATTTGTTTGTATTTTGCACAAAAAAGTAATCTTCATCAAATCTTTTTTTTTTCCATAAAACAATTAGCCACTTTGTTTTTTGTAAATAATCTACCAATTTTACTATAGAAAATATTTGTGATAACTTGTACATTTAATGTGATTAGAAGCCCTCCTAGTGTCAGAGTTGTTTAGCTTTTGTCATTTATGACTTGTAGCCCTTTAAGATTGCTTATTTTCTGAAACTAAGTTAGTTCCTGTAAGATTTTTAAACACTATCACCATAAGAACTTTTAAGTATCTCATGAAATACACCACATATTATTTTATTTTGTTGATTACGTTTCACCTATATTGATTATTATTTAATCCACTTGTACTGTGTTAAACTATAGATATTTCAAACAAATATCTTTCTGATGCCAGGATGGTTCTTTTCATTTATGTCCATCAAATATTTTTACATAAACTTGTTTTTATTACTAATTAACACACATTTGAATACTTACAAACTGTGTTATTTTGATACAAACTTGTGGCCATTGTATTAACATATTTATATAATTACAAACGTATTTTGTAGAACTTGTGGCCCTGTAATTAATTAGCACATTTTTATATAATTAAAAACTGTTATTTTTGAAATAGACTTTTGTTACTTGGAAGACTTTTCTTGAACTTGCATGGTGGATTTTCGAGACCGGGGTATTCACTTTATCATCAATTCTGTAAAGTTTACTGTTTCATTTTGTAAATAATAAAAAAACAAAAAACTAATCATCTAGTCCTAAAAAATGGTGAATGTGTATTTCTCACTTGAGTACATCATCACCTGTATTCTGTTTTAGGTCCTAATATTTTTAAAATTAGACTTCTTCCACTCTTTCCGGACTAAATGTGTACAAAATTCCACAATAACTTTGTTAGGCTGAATGAATTAAGTATTTGCCTCTAGGAATAATAGAAACTATCATGAAAACTAAAAGATATTTCTTGATATTCTACTTGTTCAGCTTCAGGTGACTAGAGTAATAGATTCTTATGGAGAAGAAAGATTTGTCTAAAACTTTTCAGATGTAACTATCACAATAAGTTGTGAATAGCTTCTATTACTTTATCAGTTTAATACTTTACCATTAAAAATGGAATTTTGTGAGGTCTGTGTAGAATGATCTTTACATATATTGTGAAAGTAAATATATTTTATGTAGTTGTGAAATGTTGAATGCTTATTTTAATAATGTTATGTTAATTCTTTCGTTCTGGACATAAAATTTTGGATTGTATACTATCTACTTCTCAGAATAAGCTAAAAAATTATTCTGAAGAATGTGCTCATGTTGGAAATTATAAGTAGTAGTGATACATAACAAAAAAAAATGAAGTGAAAATACATTAGTATGTTAGTTTCTCAAGATAAAAACTATTTTTTAGCTGCATTACAGTAAAAGAAAAGCCAAAAATTGTTGTAGCTCTTAAAATAATTAAATTGAAGTCTTTAACTGGAAAGAACAGAACCAGTGCCTTGTTGGCATTACATTCGTTTTTTCAGTTTAAAGATATCTGTAACGATTATTTTACACTTATACAATAATGAAAAAATAAATCCTTGGAATATTTCATTATGATGGCAACCCCTTGTAAATTAATTCATGTATGTTTATTAAATTCATGGCATTACATATGCAACAGAAAAATGAATGAATATTTGTTCAGACATCATTACTGCAAAATGAAAATAGACAAATTATAGTACTTATATGTAAACCAATAGCACAAGTAGCAAGTTTTGGTGTTTGTCACTAAACAAAAGTTGATTAGTAAGACACAAACTAGAAAACTGTGAAATATTTCCTGCCCAGTAAATAAAACAATGGTATTGCATGTAGTTGGCACATAGGGTAGTAAATATTCAAAATAGTGACAGAAAACCCCAATTTTGGATTTTTGTTTTAAATTTCAGATTAAAAGGGAAAATTATTTTGGTTGGTTTTCACTTTAAAAGTTATCTTTGAATTAATGATTTTAAAACATAATTTGTATTAAAAGACCCGTGTTCCAGAAATCAGGATATTTTAAAACACTTAACCTAAATCTATTTCAATATGAAAATAGCTAAATGTTAATATTTTAAAAGTTATAACTATGAGTACAACTATTTGCTGAATGTAATATCTAGCCACTTGAGAAAAAAATATCTGTATCTCCATGCATTTAATATATTTCTATACAAAGTACTGTGTATGAACAGAAGCATTTAGTTAAAAATGCACAGGTGACAAAGATATCAAAATTAAATAATAGGTTGAACAATCGCACAGTTTTTTTAATATACTTTTATTTAAAGAAGGCCTTTCGAGCTAGCACTCTTTGTCAGATTGTACAGCTTACAATAAAGGCGCATGCACAGAATTAAAAGAAATTGCGTGTGTAGATATAAACAGCACTACACATATATGAGGAAATAACTTTCGACATAAGTTCTTTACATGTAACACTGAATGTATCATTTACTGTACAATTTGCAAATGATGCAATAGCTTATACATTGGACAAACAGGCCACCAACTCAGTTAATGAGCACGAGAACATCTAAACCATATTAAACTGCAGAACCAGGATACACCTATAGGCAAACATTTCACCATCAACAACCATACAGTTCATGACTTTTTGATTCTGGGACTTGTTAGTGCTCCAACAGACATTCACAAAAGAGAACGACTGGAAAGGAGATTAATCTACAATCTGGGGACCCTACAACCATCTGGTTTTAATGAATGCTTTTCTTTCTTATAGAATTTCATTTGTGTTTAAACTATAATTGCTGTTTTATCTTTTCATGACTTGTAATTTTTATGTAATAGATGTAATTTTGCACAGAATTTTCATGCTGTGTATAAACAGTTTGCATAATCTATAATTTATCTGTAGTGACTTTTTCTGCAAGACATGAGCAGGAAAACTCAGATAATTTTGTGCAACGTTGGTGCCCTGTTACGTTAAAATTAGGCTCAAAAAGAATCGTTGAAGGGTTAGAATATATTCAGAGGTTCTAATTGCACACATTCAACATGGAGCATGGTAACAAAAAATATTGCTTGATAAAACACTATTGAGCTTTTTTGGTGAACATTATTAAAATTAGCAAGAAAATGGAAATTAAGTAATTAGAGTAACTGAAATTGAATTTAGATATGTAAACACAGAAAAACAAAACAATAATAAAATAATAATCCAGGGAAATGTTTCTGAGAAAGGGGAGAATTTCATTGAGGTAAGATAAAAGGAGATTTAACAAGGAGTAAACAGTAAGACACATTTAAAGGTTTATGGAAATTTTGTTTGAACTAAAACTTTAATTAATTCCATGAGGGGACTTAGTGTTGAGTTGGAAGACAAGGCAGTGTTCTAGGCTTTCTCTTTTTAATTTAAGTGGTGTTTTTTATGATTAAGTCTTTCATGTCAGAAGTACCAATTTGGTCAGGAGTATTAAAGTGCCTAGGGAGTGGAAGGTCAGTGAAGCTTTCTCGTACAAATATAAGGTGTTCACAGAAATGGTTACTGAGCCTGTAAGCTATTTCTGCAATATATTGTTTATGACACCTACACTGAATACAGTAAATGATGCATTTCAATGTGCAGATGTAATATACCCCTAATGTTGAACTAGGACCAGTTATTGTAATGTTTAAAATGTATGGACTGGTATAATATGTTTCTAGTACATTAGTGAGTTCCAATAATGGGGAAATTGTTGTCTTGTAGCTTAAAGTGGTCTATAAGGCTTGGATTATGGCTACAAGAGATTAAAAGAGGGTAGTAAATATTTCAGCAGTGGTGAGGTCAGTCATGAGTAATTTAACCTTTTTCTGTATGATAGTTGTTGCTGTTGAGGAGATGGTAATTTAATATCAAGTGGATTCTGTTTTGACTTTTATCCTTAGGTTGGATGTTGTTGGTATTTGATACAATGTGTATGTTTATGGGCATTTTTGATGACATGAGCTGGATGGTTGTTCGAAGAACTCTGCCATCTCGGTGGTTTTGGAGAGAAGGTCTTGATTCTCAGAGCATAAGCATCTCAGTCTTGTGAACTGCCCTTGAATGGCAACCTTTGTTTCATAGGGATGGTGGTCTAAGTAAGTGTGACTATCATTATCGTTGTAGTATATCATGGTTTTAAAGAGAGTCACCTGAAATGAGGCAGTGGTATTGGAGATTTGGTAAGTGTATGTAACTACTGGATGAAGTTGAACTGTTCTACTTAAACTTTGATACATGTAACAATACCTAAAATGCCATCAATGTAACAGATAAAGAAGTTAAGGAAAATACCATTAAAAATGATATAGAGGCATTCCTTGAGGTAGCCAACAAACAGATTAATGAAGAAAGGTTACATTTTCATGCCCATGGAAATGCCATTGAATTTGAAAATATTCATTGTTAAAACTATTTTTGCTGGTTGAAGGAAGGTTTTAGTGGTAAGGAATATAGTCTCTTTTGTTCAAAAAATGTATCAGAGCTAGCATGTCATCACTATGAGAAATACCAGCATACAGTAACTGTACATCTGTAGTGAAGATGGTTTAGAACATTGTTGTGTCTTTAACATAGGGGAGAGAGATGACATAATTTAAATAATTAGATATTGTGGAAAGGTGAAACTATGGGGCATCTAAAATACTCAGATTTATGAATTTTGGGTGATAAGTAAAAAATTCCTGTTCTGTACAAGTCAATTATGATTTAAATAATTGCTATAAATTTACTTTCTATAGAGTCGAAGCCAGTGGATGAAATTGCTGAACAAGTATTTCACATGTACCATAGTGATTATTAACTTACTATTGCAACTGTATTGATGTCACACATCATTTGTTTATGTATAAGGTTCCTGCCTTTTCAGATACAATGCTGCTGACAGGATCACAACTTACCACTGCAGGATCGATTTTGGCCATGTTACACAAATGTCTAGGCTGTCTTCCACAACAAAAATCTTTAAACTGTAGTTTAAAAGAGAGCACTGGATCAGCAATCATGGTGATGGCTGATGGTAAGCATTGAATTATAGCAAATACTGTAAGTTTGCAAATTTTACAGATTCTGCAGATAGAGTAGCCACACTTGAAGCTGACTATAAGGAGTGGCAAGAATTGTGCAAGCAGGAGATGGCAATTTTAGGCAGAAATTTTGTAACTCTATATTTTATTTATAAAATATTTAGTTCCAGATAAAGAATTCAGCAGCAAGGGCCCACCATCATTTAGGGTCATCACAGTGGAAGATGGTCATAATAGTGTCATGACCCAAACTCCATCAGAAATGTAGGGGAAAAAGTATATTAATATAATCAATTCATAATTGTAATAACACATTTGCGACCTTGTAGAGTGTGCAGAATGTCACTCTAAGAGGAAATCTGGCCAGCTGCAGAGAGGAAGAGGGAAATATAACAACTATAAGGAATATTAAAAATGCTTAATTCATATACATATTCTATTATATTATGACACGTCTTATATTTGCGTTTAATATATATGCATGCTTCTATACAACTTGAAAAATTCATATGGCTATATATATGTGAAAGGCTTTACCACTTCAGCTATAAAGCCAACATGCATTGCATATATAAAATTCATGCAATTACAAAATCCAGTCCATGCTCCATTCCAGTAGTCTCTACAATCCAGTGTTTACAGACTCCCCATATAGCTACTGGGTATAAATATGGTAACTACATATATATTTTACAGGCATATACATAGTATGTTTAGTACCATGCATCATAGTGATCACTACCACTATTAATGATATCAGGAGCAATAGCCATCCAATCTGAATAAAGAAAATCTAAAGGTTGTCATTGTGTCCCAAGAGAGGATCATACACCATCTACATATTTCAGTAAACTAAACTGTTCAAATAGGACAGTATTGCTATTATACAAATTTATGGACATAAAAAACTGAACAAACAAGGTTATTAAAAATTGTTAATTTAAAAAGGGGAAATAGGGATCTTCAAATAATTACAGAAACAAGACAGGTAGCTTAAAGTGAAAATGCAATCGCAAAAAAAGTACACAAACAAGCTTAAGGTTTGAAACGTTTGTTTACTTTTTTGCAATTGCATTTTCACTTTAAGCTACTTATCTTGTACTGGGCAATTGAATTTATATTTATATATTTTTTTATGTAGGACTTTCCACGATGCATCTGTGCCTGATCTTTTCTAAAAACCACTGGCTGTGGAATAGCTTAGAAACTTCAGTAATCAACTTGCAAAAGCAGAAAATTCTTTGGTAAAGAACATGTTCAAATAATTCTATCAGGAAGATTGACAGTTCAGTTTTTTGGGGAAGCTCCTTTTTCTGGAGAGTGACTGTTACTACACTATCTGAATTGGTTTTCAAATCTGAGTATTGAAAACTAAATAGTAACTTTGATTTCAAGTGGTTTTATTCTTTATGTATTTTAAGAAATATACAGCGTAGTATTAAATATTTGCAAACAAAAAAAAATCTTAAAGAGCCATAATTATAAAAAAAAAACTATCTGAAATATTTCAAAATTGGTGTTACGAAATTACAGTCAGCAACTGTATGTGCAGGAAGAGACTTTTTTTTACAGTAAGCTTTGAGAATATCTTAAGTTTATTAAAATCATTTCAATTTTTATTTTCCTATTCTTCCGTTTTCTTTTTCATTCCTTCTCTCTGTTTCTTTTTCTTCTTGGTCTCTGCCTCGTCAATAGGTGCTGGTTTCACAAAGGGAATTTCATCTTGATATTCTACAATGTTATAAAAATAAATTTTTTTTCTCAGATCTGCTATGCTACAATATCACAATTTTACCTAAATTGTATAATCACTATTTACAAAACATGTTAATATTTAACATCACTTATAAAACATATTGGCATTGATTTGTATTAAAATGTGTAATACAACTGAACAATATTTTTGTGAAGTTAAAACTCTAGAGCAGAATTTAGTAAATGGTTCATTGATTTCTGTTTTCCCACCACTACAGAAGTGGTCACTGGTGGAAAACTCAGCTGCATATCCTCACATCAAATATTATTACTGACTAATGGAAATCAAGTGTGTAAGTTTGGATTTCACATTCCATTTATTCTTCATCTTCTGTGTCAGTGCACTTTTAAAGGAAGTAATAAATATTTTTTATAAACTTTGGAACACCTGTAGTAAACTGTTGAAGAATGTGCATGTATATCAAAATTAGAGCCTCTACTTTTTATTTTTATCAATAAAGAAAATATGATCAATGCTAAGTTGTGGCTTTAGATGATGTACAGTAAGTTATTCTTAAATATGTAAAATTCATTATTAACACGTTTTAGAATCATCAAGTCAGTAGCACATAAAACAGTTACGACATGTGATGGTATACACAGTACTGAGCAGATGTACGCTAAGTATAGTCACAACTAAGTTTGCCCCTGAAGAAGAAAGGTCCACCTTTTGAAAGTGCTCGGGTTACACGGTTTTTATTCATTTCTGTCACAACTAAGTGATATACACAGCACTGACCAGTTCAACATTAAGCAGTTACAGCTAATGTGTTCATATATAAAAGCACTCTCAGATTCAATATGCTAATTTTTTCTAGTAGATTTCTTGAGTGTATCTTTCAATATCAAAGGTGAATGGTTGAGAGACATAAAATACATTAAAAAAAGACTAACATCCAACAATGAAATTTTAACAACTCGGCAAGACAAGCAAACTTTAAATTACATACTCAACTGTGTACTTTTTCTCCACAATAAACATTAGATTAAAAGCCTACACATGATTAAGTTCAACATTCCAGATGTAACATTCCTTACTTAACTCATTTAACAGAGAATCAAATATTGGACAGAAGACCATATAAAAATTTATGGAAATTAGGGGAGTAAATGGATCATGTGTTGTTTTTTTTTAATGTAAAGTTACAATAATGCCAGGGCTTGAAATCAGCAGTGGCAAGAAAAGCCAATGTATTGTAGAGTTTAGTTAGTGACCATAAAGGTGCACTGCCATTCTTTGGTCAGTTGATAATCATTATGAATATTCACACCAACTGTAAACAGCAGTGAAAATTAACATTTAAAAAAGCTGACTGCATGCATAATGTTTATGGAAAACCACAGCATGATAATAAATTGATATGCATTTTCTTGTAGCTTGTTAATGTCATTCTCAAACATTTCAATGGGATTCAAGTTTAAAATATTCAAAATAGTCCATTCAAGTATTTAAGTTTTTTATATATTTTATTTTATATTACAAAATGTAATTATTGTCACAAACAAAGATCTAAAAGTTGATAGTATATTGAAAATGTGATGGTTTTTGAAAATATATATCAGCTAACTAGTTATATAAGCTAAGAATATACAACTCAAGAATTGTTTTGCTTTTTTTTTGTCAGTATGACTGTCACTTTTTACAAATAACTTTTAACATTTACCAGTAGCAAAAAAAGTTAGTTTGAAGCCCTTAATGATGTTTCCCAAAATTGTGCAAATATACAGCATTCATTACATCTGCAAGAAAATATTTTCATAAATGATATCTAACCAACTGCATTCTCTGCTCTAATTCAGCAAATGTAGAAATGAAAACATTAAGAAGGAAATATTATAACAGGCAACTCACCAGAAGGAAGATATGGTTTAAGAGCTTGGGGAACCTTAACACCAGTGTCAGTCTGATAGTTCTCTAAGATAGCACAGATACAGCGAGTTGTTGCACACATTGTTGCATTTAACATGTGGACATAATCAACCTAACAGAGTAAAAGAAAAACACAGTTAAAATAAGTGGAAAGAAGATAACTACCTGACTAAATTTTTAGTATTACAACAACAGTTTAGAATTATTTAAAAAACTTGTTCACTTACAATAAAAAAAAGGAAGTTTTTCATAACATGTTTATATAAGTCACATTCTTAGTTTCTGAATCTAAGAAGTCATCAACGAATTCAAGAAACTGGTACTAAAAGTTAAGAATAAAAGAATATGCTTCAACAAGCTAAGTATCATACATATCTAAAACACTCAAACTCTGACCACTTTTAGTATGTTAACTGAGGTAAAAAAGTATAAACTTACTTGAGCATTCATCTTCTTGGTCTGACCATACCTCACTTGGAGTCGACGTGCCTGATAGTCTAGACAATTGGAACAAGACACTAACTCCCTGAAGGCTCCCGACCCAGGAAACCATGCTTCAACATCAAACTTCTTGGCTGCAGCATTATTCAGTTCCCCTACAGAACAAAACATTAAGATTACACAACAGCCACTAGTTGAATTATGCTGGATAACCATAAAAACCAGATGAGATCTACAATTTTAATTAAATGTTATCTTTTATCTACTCTGACAGCTCGATGACAAAGAATGTTAAGCAACTGCTTGTTGTACAAGGCCTAGTATATCATGCAAGTTTTGTGTAATGAATGAATAAAAAAAATGGCCATCAAAATTATTCATACACAAAAAACATTACAGAATAGGATACAACTCCACTTACCAGAGACAATGTTTACCACACGATAGGGAATGTTTAACATTTTACAAAACTCCTCTGCATTGCCAATCATTTCGTCAAACATTTCCCAGGATTTGTTATCATGTGGGGAAGTCAAACAGAACTGTTCAACCTACAACAATTAATACATTACTAACTGCAATACATTTGGAAGACATTATCCTTATCTAATTAACTACTGTCCATTATTTACTAAGGCTTTACTATGCAACATTATCATCTCTATGTTCTTGTTTCTTTACACAGTTCTCTTCCCAATTCACATCATGGTAAAACTTCATTTATGAAAAATACATAGTTATATATATTTTGATAAGAACTAGTGGCTTGTGGCATTTTTCTACCATCTAAACCCCTGTTGAGCTCTAACCTACATAAATACAAATAATAACTTTTAATTAGATGGAACCCTATGATATATTTGCTGTTATAATTATAAGCACAATACTGTCATTACCTAAAATATCCCCAATGGAAAAATTGTATCTATCAATTTTAGAACAAAATTGTGACAAAGATCTTGTATATTTCCTTGATGTACTTTAAAAAATATACCTTTTGGAACTGATGAACCCGAAATATTCCTCTAGTGTCACGGCCATGTGAACCAACTTCCTGGCGAAAGCATGCTGACAAACCAGCATATCGGATGGGAAGCTGTTCTGTTGGAATCCACTCATCTCGATGAAAAGCTGCTATTGGTTGCTCAGAAGTTGCAATAAGATACTTTTCTTCTGAGGAAGCTTCATTATCCTTGTCTGATTTTCCAATAACCTAAATTTTTGGAAGATCCCACAAAAATGTAAAAAATAAAATAAACAAAACAAAACTGTATACTGTAGCAACTGCATATAATTATTACCCACACTAGAGAACTTCAATATTTTGTCACACTTTTGTAGTTACGTGTTATTAGCAACATATACAACTATTCTATATTATGTGATACAGCAATTAACCCTTTTGCTATAGTTAGGTCAAAGTGTGTATGTCATAACCTTTTAAACAGTTACCTCCAAAATTTAATTAAACTCTTTTATTGTCATTGTATATGAACAAACTTGGCATAAAAATGTAGTTAATAAATCAAATGTTAACATCATACAAGTTTTTAATTTTATAAGGAAATGTTTAAAAAGTCATCAATCTCCCCTAATATGATAACTTTGATATTTGTTCTCTAGGTCTTCCCTTTTCTCTAACTTATTTATCACCCCTCTAAGAATTACGGAATTCAACATAAGTTATTCATTATAATATAGATATTACTAAGGCAAAACATAATTTGTATAGTCTTCAATCTTATCTGTTTACAAAGCCATAAACTAGAAAATCAAAACCATTTGCCATGCCCACTTGTTACATCCTCTCTTTCACAAATTACCAATAGTTCTCTGATGTTTATGCTATATTATTTATAGCCAATAGAAACTCAAGGTTTTAGTCTATCAAATGACATATTATGTTCCATTGTTTACTGCAGAGAGCATTGTCTGTTTCACCTCCAGTTTGAAAATTTCTCTTGCAGTATTCACACTGACAACCTTAGCTAAATTTGTAAAGGCTCTTATAGCATAGTTAAAAAGCAAGATAAATTATGATAGTTATTGGACACTATTTGTTTTGTGCACATTATTATTCTGTGTACTAGTACCATTAGTATAAAAAGTAGGCTTAACATTTGTTGACAGTCAACAGCAAAAAAATGAGGACACAGGTAAGTACCATATTTCTTGTTTTTCATGTATATTCTTTACATGTATAAAAGTAACTAAAATATAAAAATTAGAAACTTACTAAGTTAGATAAAGTTAGGTTAAGTAAGATAATAATAAATAGTAATAATAATAATAATTCTTCATGGGGTATGCTTGCAAGCTGCTCATTTTACATAATTCAATACAGTAACTTGAGTTAAGCATTCAACCAGTGATTTACAAATTTTATGGTGGGATTATTAGTTAGATGTAGGCTAAAGGGCAATAAAACTTAAGCATTAACAGATGTATACTGTTACAAGCTTTAAGCTGTTTAGGATAAAAAATTGTAGTTTCCTGTTACTATTTGCAGTCATTCTAGACAGAAAAAAAGAATAATTTAGATTTATTTCATATTTTTAGTGTGGTTTTCAGGTCTGTCAAATTGCCTGAATATGCATAGAGATAAAGCCTAGTATCAATTCATTAAACTTACCTTGTACAGTTCTTCATCAAACTGGCTTAACTGAGCCACCTCCTGCATTATGTCCTTTCTTACAAAATATGGAGTTGTAAGAATTTTAAATTTCTTTTTATGCAAAATGTTTAGAGCTAGTTGTATAAGGGCTTGTTCAAGAAACACAGCAGCATTCTTTAAGAAAAAGAAGAAGAAAAAAAATATATATATAATGTAAACAACTACATACAATAATGCTTGGAGACAGCTTGAATGGGTAATGAAGAAAAACTTTAATATAAGTTTAACATAACAGCAAAGGTACAAGGTTTTGTCATCATCAGGTGCCAAAATCATAGTCTCAAAGTGGGGTGGGTTCCTCGTCATCAAAGTTGAACTACATACAATATGGCATTAAAGTGAATAAAACTCATTAAAGAAAGATAGCTATTAATAATTTTATAGGAATTATATTTTGGTACCTTTTACTGCTGTCTACACTGTTAATGATGCAACAAAATGTTATAAAACAAAACTGTGGTTTGCAGATTTTCTATTGTGCCTTATAACTATTACAGCATATATATATTTGTAATTATGTTAATATAAAACAAGGGAAAAGGAGATAATGTTATACTGCATGAATTGAAATAATTAAATACATTAACACAGACCAAAAATGTTTCAGCAACTTCAGTGTTACCAAAATAGTTTAGGTTTGTGTTAATAAGGTTAATGATTTTTTTCAGTATAACATTACCTCTTTTGCTGTTGTGTTATATAATTTGAGCATGAGGTAGTTTTTTTGTGTAAGTACTATTTAGTTCATTTAAACCTTCCTAAGAAGGACATACTGAAATTTCAGGTATTTATATGTAAACAAGTTTGTATGTTAAAATACAAGTTTTACTTTCTCGAAGTTAAAAATAAATGGTTTACCATACTAGTATTAGAGCCAAGTCTGACAATTTATATCCATTCTCCAATGGAAGCTGTTTGTATAGAAAGTGACTACTACAAAAAACAAGTTTCCTGCATCATGGTAATAAAACTCTCTTCAACAACTTTAAACTTTATTTGGGCAAGTGTTGTGCAGCAACTTATTCTGTAGCACACAAAAACTTAATCACATTCCAGTATTGCTAAACTATTGATGAATAATAATACAGGTTCTTAAAACCTTTACATATAAATTGATTTCCTATCTTAAGTAAAGAAAAATGGCCAGCATTTTTAGTTACCAAAAGGTAATAGCCTCGGCCTCCTGCAGTTACTGATCCCCGTTCTCCATCAACACCATCAATCATATGTATGAGATCTACATGAGAGTATTTTTTTCGTGTTTCCACATCTCCCCATACTCGTATTAGTTCATTTTCTTCCTATAAAAAAGCAAGCTAATTAGGGTCTGATAAAGAAAACAATAGTTAAGTCACATCATCTTGGCAAGTTTAGAAGTTATGTTTTAATCTTTGCAATGGCATCTATATGCTTCTGTGAATTTTCATACCTTAAAAGCACTTTCTTGTAGGAGTTTAAAACTCACTGCATGTTAACAGTCTTTAAAAAATAAACTTTGTAAATATGTTTTACAATTTTGCTTCTAAAGTTCAGATTGCTAAGTTCATGAACTGAGAAAATTAGAGTAAATTATATATTTTTAAATTATTCTCCAAAGTTAACACTACAAAAGCATTAAGAAGCTTGACGTTTGAAAGAAAGTTTTAAAATATTACTGTTTAGGAGCTAAGGTTATATTTGTTTAAGCAAATAATTTTATTCTGAATGAGCATTTACAAAATATCCCATTTTTAATAAGCAAGTCACTTCAATTTTATAGAGTTTAGCAACATTTTCTGATATGTAAATGTACACATGTATGTGGTTACGTACTTGTGCACATCATGATGAACTACACTAAATATCATAGAATACCTTGAATTTAACCTGTAATAAAGATTCACTAACACATCCCGATCACTACCACTCACAACATATTAATATCAACTTCTGATCAGAGCAAGCTACCTACCTAAAGTGAAATAAAAAATCAACTGATTATGAATACAGCTAATTAAATATACTTTCATTACATTCTTATTTATTTATATTAAAATGCTTGTTTCATCAGAGGGATACCCTCACCATTAACAAAGATAAAGCAAGTCCTTAACTTAATTAACAAAGGTCTAGCATATTCAAATGTGTGGTGAACAACTGGTTGTGTATAACCATTTCCACATTCTATTTTTATTAATTGTATCTAGTGTTCTTTACTTCATTTAAGTAGTTGTTAAGAAAATTTATGAATTCATATCTGGTTTGAATCAAAGTTACAAGACAAAACCCTGAATATTAATTATTGTAAAAAATTATTGTGAATAATTTTCCATACATTTTAACCCCTGCTGGACCTGAAGGATGACACCGATATCCCACAAATTTTTTGTTCTTGTATTGGAAATACTTAATCAAATTGCATGAAACTCAGTACCAACTTACAAAATAGTAACTAGTTTTAGCTTCAAATTAATTCAAACAATTTATTTTTTATATGATTGGAAGTCAATCATTTTGTTGCAAGACAAAGAAAACATTTGAAATGCTTCCTTTTGTCTTAGAATTTAAATTTTTTATTGTTGATCAGATAGTTACATTTTATATATATCCAGTAAGTTTCAACTTAATTGATACTATTCAACTTATTTCTTTTTAATACTTGATCTTACCAATTGCAGTGGTCACCACTTTTGGCTATAAAACATACAAAAAATGGTAAAAAGTGATAAAAATGTATTGGTGAACTATGACCTAACCTTTCAAAACTGCACCACCATCACACCTGTCAGGTTAGGAAACAATATTATTGCTACCAATATCCTGGTCAAGATCAATTTATATCTAATGAAAATAGTTTATTTTCAATAAATAAGGATTTGAGTCATCAAGAATACAATGATGTTGCCTCCTATACTTTCTAGAGTCATTAAGAATACAATGATGTTGCCTCCTATACTTTCTAGAGTCATCAAGAATACACAGATGTTGCCTCCTATACTTTCTAGTCATTTAGAATACATTGATGTTGCTTCCTATACTTTCTAGTCATCTAGAATACATTGATGTTGTATCCTGTACTTTCTAGTTTCCAAGAATACAATGATGTTGCCTCCCATACTTTCTAGAGTCATCAAGAATACAATGATGTTGCCTCCTATACTTTCTAGAGTCATTAAGAATACAATGATGTTGCCTCCTATACTTTCTAGAGTCATTAAGAATACAATGATGTTGCCTCCTATATTTTCTAATCATTAAGAATACAATGATGTTGCCTCCCATACTTTTAGAGTCATCACGAATACTTTGATGTTGCTTCCCATACTTTCTAAAGCTTAACTAATGTCATCATAGGAGAAAATTTCTGCAGCTTGAAAACATACATAACATAGACATTTTCAGGAATGAAAATTCTGCCTAAAGAAACCGTAAAAATTATAACATCTTTGGTTCACTCATAAGTCTCCTAAGTTTCCCATTATATTCATTTGTTCATCCTTACAGTAGCTCTGTCCACTCACTTTCCCACGAAACTATAAATTATTGCTATAACCACATTGTTTTATTTTCTCTACACTGATGTAAACAGGTTATAATCTGCTCTATCAAATGGTATTCAAATTTTGCCAATGACTGTTTTCATAGTTGTTCTTCATTACTAATTTTTCAGACAACATGCTGTGACATCATAACAGGGTGGGAATGAAGGGATATAATTATACAAGAGAAAGATAAGGAAAATCACTAGAAAAACAAAATATGAATAATTATATTATCAAGTTTCTCCATAAATATAAGCTTATTCTTTGGGATGGGCGGAAAGGTGGAAACTTTTTTAAAAATCTATAAGTGCACAAATGAAAATTTGAATATCTTCAAATTTTTCTATACAAATTACACATTTTAATGTTGGAAACTGAGAATATATCAATTTGAAAATATTTTTGAGTTAAAAACTGTTAAAATAGCATTACAATTATTATTTTTACTCTAAAATAAAAGGTGTTCTGTAGTCCAAGTAGAGTTAAATTCAAACTAACGTGAAGTCATTTGTTAATGAAATAAATACTGATAAATAACTTGAATCATTCTTGCTACCATAACAACTATCAAAAGAGGAGTTTGTTCTTCTGTCTAAGCTTGCAAGTAAGACTGTACCAACAACTAGACAGTCAACTTACCTCATCATTACTGATAGGAACAGAATCATGGAGCCAATTGCCAATTTCTTTTAGTGTTTCATTTCTCTCTTTTTCGAGCCTTGTTAGTTCTTCACTACATTTCACCATCTCCTCATCCATCAATGCTCGGATTTTTTTTATTTGAGTGACAGTCAGTGTCTAATGGACAGCCAAAAACAGGACAAACATTTAATTACTTTTACTGAACAAGTATTTAGATGTATTAATCTCTGTGATGACATAAATGGGTTCATGCAAATATACATTAATATCATTTTTAAAAATTCTGCTACAGTTTATAGATTATAGTGCAGAAATTACATTGGTGTACAATATTACACTTCCATTAATTATCACTAAGCACGGTAATGCTTAGCAGGTACGGATAGGCCAAGAAAAAAATGGCTGCCACATTCAATCTATTACTTAATGATGCTTACAAATAACTGCTAAAGTTGAGTTATAGCCTTATATGAGCACCTAATTGCCATTATAAAGTGTTTCACAGCATGCAATATCATTGAAAAGTGTTGCTAAAGTGGAGAACTGGGAACTAACTAAAGGGTTCATCTTAATTTTTCTTTTCTCATGCTAGCCAAAAAAATGCATGAAGTTTTTGCAATGGCTTTAGTATGACAAAAATCATTTTAAGAGCACCTGGGAAAAGGCTATCACTAAGCACAGTAGTACTTAGTATAAGCTAAAAAATACCATAATTCTAGTGTAAACAATGTTATCATTACCCCTTGAAGTTAGCTTTCTTACAAAAATCTGGTGTTCCTTTAAAAAGCTTAACTACAGGGTGAAACAGGAATTACCAGCCAATCATAGATGAAAATTAGATGACTAACACATAGAATACTCAATGCCTTGTACACTATACAATTGGTGTCTTTTGGGAGCCAACCCCTATATTATATACAATGTGAAGTAGTAAAAAAAAATCAATATACATGATATTAATTTTATTACATACATTCATAGAATACACTAACTTTCAGTCA